AATGCTGTTATTATTGTCTTCATTTTGCGTACCCTAAGATGTAGCAGCAGTCATTAAAATTCTGATAATAATCACATCATACATTGTGATCAAGGCCATTGTGTGTTCTCTTCTGTCTCTCTGAGAATACTATACCTGTACTTGTGATTTTTATAACATGACTGTTTTGCCTTGATTAACCTTACAGACTGGGACACAGCGAAAAAATTTAATTCATCAGAAAAAATGTTTTGTTTCAGACAAACCGAATTTTGTCCATCGAGAAATTCGGCTTGTATTAATATCGTCCAATAAGTTTTTATTTATTTTTTTATTTTTGCTGAATCAAATTATGCAGTCTCAAGCTTTTTAAATTATGTTCTTTCAGCTGTTTAGTACATACTTCCCTAATCCTCTATGGCAGCGTTTCCCAATTAGTGTTCCGCGGAACCCTAGGGTTCCACAAGAACAAAATTGGGATTGCGCAGCGATTTGCACGTCGGGTGGATGCTTAGCTTTTTGCCTTTCGCCTGCTGTTCGTGTAGTTAGTCCATTTTGTGCTTTACCAAAAAAAAAACGAATAAACTACCGAACAGCCAGACCACCCAAATTGGAAGTGTGCCGCTCCTTTACCCACCAGAACTGCGGTTAACCACAAACATTTGTCGAACAATTGAGTGGTCGCAGTTCGTTTTACCAAACACATGGCGGTGGCCATTTTAACTTGTTGAACGCCCAGCGGTGTTTGGTCGTCGACCGCGTGAAACTCTTATCAGCCACAATTTCTCACTAACACCGCTGGGACCATCTCACTTCCATCCTGTTAGTTTCCAATTATACGAACGCCGTGCTGTTCGGTGGATTACATCCACAAAAGAGACCGACCTCAGATAGCTGAATCCATAGAGCTATTGCTGGACATATTTTATGCGGACAGTCGGTGAACAGAACTCTTTAGCTCCATTGAGATTTAACTGTGTTCGTGGGATCTGAGCGTTGTTCACCTATATTGAGCGCTCAGACCCAAGCTATCTGGGGATACGAGGGGGTTTCATTCGGGAATATTAAAGTTATGCATTGTAATACAGTTTTAGGAGTGTTGTAAAATAGAAATATTCTCTCTGCCTGGAGATAATTAAGTTTACTCAGAACACTTAAGTCAATTATCTCCAGGATAGAGAGGAGGGATTTTACTGTGTATGTGGGAGTGTTATTTTGTTAATTAAGTGTTTCTCATTGGTTTTTGTCACAGTTTACCACCAGGTCCAGGGGGTTTGTGTGCATTAAACAGATTAGTTTTACCCCTTCATGAAGTCTTGGCTCATGCTTGGAGAATTGGGAGCTATACATCACTCCACCTTCGCTTTTACTTGGTATTCGGGAGACGCTGCAGGGATTTACTCAGCTGGAGTATAAGAAATCCATGACAGGGAATATTCCAGTTCCTAATCTTTGAAAACTAGGATATTCCCCGTAAGAGATTTGTATTTTGTCATAATGGATTTTTAAAGTTTGTGTTTCTATGGATTTCTGGAATGGGATATTTATTCCCCAAATGGTTCCTAATATTTAAAAAGTCTTTTTTTTAATTTTTTATTATATACACTATATCCATGTGAGGGGTTTCGGTTCGGTGGATATACATGCTTTTTTTCATGTTTTTATGTGTCTATATGTTTCACATTTATTTAGACAATTATGTGGCAATACTCCCCAGTGTTATAAAATATTATAATCAAAATATATCAAAATACACCATAAGAGGAACATATATCTGGACTCTAACTAGTATCAATACCTTTTATACTATTAAAGATGAGACTAATTATTATTACCATCCTTTTATTAGGATTTTTACTGTACTATTTCCTTTCATACATGGGACCACATGGTTCCCTGTTTTTTTTGCTTTTTACTCTGGTGTCTGTTTTATATCTTTATCGATATACTACAATCTCAGTTACTAAATGTGCTGGATGCATTTTTATATGTACTGATTTTGAGCCTTTCAGGCTTCCTTACGATTCACATATGACTGGTAATACACATTACCGAAGGTGGAACGCATAATGGCTGCCAGTTGGAACACATACGTCACCCGGATGTGAAAACCGGCAGTGACATACCAGACGTGACGTCATACTGGCACAGTACCCGGGAAAATCAAATAAGGAATCCTCTGAAACAGCCGGACAGTGTGGAAGACGCCGCTTGGACCACCAATGGGAAGAGATGACAGCCACAAATAAGGAAGGACTGGTGAGAGAAGGGTTATGCTGCCATTTTGTCGTTTTGTTAGGATATTTCCATTCCATAGTTCCATTGATATTGGCACAGTTTTATGGTTCATTTATAGTATCACACTATTGTACTGTTTTTCTTTCTGTAGATTATCAGCTATACTCCTATCCATATACGCATTCTATTTGTACAGGATAAGGTCTGGAACATCCAGAGAGGAAGCCGTTATATTACTACGATAAGTTATTTATTTTGTAAAATTTACATCTAGAGGTGTGGGTATATAAACACTCTGCCGCTTTTCTGTTACATACTGTGTATCTGTGTGCCAAGGTGTGTGTATCTGTCAGTATGTGTATCTGTGTATTAGTGTTTTTGTCAGTGTGTGTATCTGTGTGCCACTATGTGCCAGTGTGTATCTGTGTTTGTATATGCCGATGTGTTTATCTGTATGTCAGTGACACACAGATACACACACCTTTACACACAGATGCACACTAGCACACTAGCAATAGCATGTCAGTGTGTGTATCTGTGTGCTAGTATGTATGTGCCGGTTTGTTTCTGTGTCAAGGTGTGTGTGTCTGTGTTTGTATGTGCCAGTGTGTGTACCTGTGTCACTGTGTGTATCTGTATCTGTGTGTGTGTCTGTGTTCCTGTGCAGGGCCGGCCTTTGGGCGCCCTGTGCGAAAAATCTTCACAGTGCCCCTCCTCCATCCCCCCGTCATCCATGTATAGTGTGTGTACATAGGAGTGAAGTGGTTTGTATCAGGGATTTATTAAATTAATAATGATTTAAAAACAATATAAATTCCTTCTTTCCTGTTACCTAGTTGGGAGAGGGGTATGCTGATCTGAATCTGGTCTGCCCCTCCACTGGGTACAGACCATGCGTAACTGTCTCGCAAGCTCAGGGACTTGCAGTGTCCTCTGGTAATCTGCGGCAGCGCTCTGATTATCCTGAGCTGGGAAGACAGCTACTTATGGTCTGCAGCCAACAAAAGTGCAGGCCAGAAGTGCCAGACTGCCTCCCCTACATTACAGAGGAGCATACTAAGTATGTCACATAATACTGTGAGTGGTTTTGCTTTGGAGCTCTGGATTATAGTTATTTACCTTGACTTCTTTGGAATAAAAATTTGTAGTAATGCTCTACTTCTCATCCCAGTAATGTGGAGCTCTGTGACAAGATCATACACTATACCACAATGCAACTCTAAGTAATGTCTATTAGTGTATCAGTGAGCTCCCTAACTATAAAACGTGCATTTTATATACCAGAGCTCCACTGTAATACATCTCACTATAATATGATGTAATGTTAGTGTTGTCTGTGTATGTGATAGGTGTGATGACTGTGATATGTATGCTATGTGTTGGCTGTGTGTGATATTTGTAATGGGCGTATTAATTGTGTGTGGTATACGTGTATTGATTGTATGTGATATTTGTGCTGGGTTTATTGGCTGTGTGTGATGAGTATTTAATTCAGATAAAAATATGCATTTAAGCCTATGTGTGAATGTAGGTGTATATTTTTGCAGAGTTATGTGCACACAGTCCCACAGTCAGATGCACAGTTATACATATACACTGTCAAATACACCACATGCACACAGTTGCAGACAGATAGTCGCAGAAACACACAGGTACAGACAGTAACACACATACACAGTTACAGGCAGATAAACACACTCACACACAATAACAGGACGACAGCCACACACACACACAGGCAGACATCCACACACACAGCCACACACACACACACACACACAAACACAGGCAGACAGCCACACAAAGAGGCAGGCAGTCACACACAGACAGCCACACACACACAGAGGCCGACAGCCACACACACACACACACAGGCAGACATAGAAACATAGAATGGGACGGCAGATAAGAACCATTCGGCCCATATAGTCTGCCCAGACAGTCACACATAGGCAGTCACACACACACACACAGTCAGACAGTCACACACACAGACAGTCACACACACACAGCCACACAAAGACAGGCAAACAGTCAAACACACACTGTCACACACACAGGCAGACAGTCATATACAGATACACACAGGCAGAGAGTCACACACACACACACACACAGGCAGACAAACACACAGACTGTCACACACACAGGCAGACAGTCACACACACACACAGACACACACACACACACACACACAGGCAAACAGTCACACGCACACACACAGGCAGACAGTCATACACATACACACAAAGACACACAAAGGCAGACAGTAACACACACACATACAGTCACACACACAGGCACACAGTCATACACACACACCCACAGTCAGACAATCACACAAAGTTACCTCTGTTCCTTATGGAGGTGGAAGTAGTGCAGCTCCTGGAGGCTGGTTGTTGGGGGAAGCAGGGACTCCTTCCTGCTTCGCCTGCTGCAGTTACTTGGCACTTTTAGCTCCGCCCCCGCAGTACGGTAAGCCCCGCCACAATATTATTATTATTATTTTTTATCCCAGTCGGCCATGTGTGAGCTGTGTCGCATGCACGGCGCCCCCTGCTCCATGGCGCCCTGTGCGGCCGCACAGCTCGCACATCCCTAAGGCTGGCCCTGTTCGTGTGTATATGACTGTGTATGTGCCGGTGTGTTTCTGTTTGGTAATGTGTAAGTATGTATGTGGCAGTACATGTTCAGACATCCAAGCAATCAAACACCAACACAACACACACTCCTGCAAACACAAACATGACATAAAAAGACACCCCTGAACTCTAACTCCAAAATTATATACAAACACCAATATTACACACAAATGTACATCCACATTAAAAATCCAACACTACATCCAAATACACCTCTGCACGCAAATTATAACATTCCATACAAACACATTTCTGTATTAAACGATAAAATTACATACAAATACAAATTCCTAAGTACTGCAATCTGTTTACTAAATGTGGAAATTAGTGTGTTTATATAGTAAAAAAAATAATAAATTGTAAAAATAATACATTATGCTCTGCTAATTGGAAGGTATACGCAACAGAGCTGAATAAAATGGTTTTTTGGGGGGGGCTGGGGGGGCAGGGGAGGAGGGGTTCCACGATGTTGATACACTGTCAAAGTCAATGTCAAAGTGCTCCACGGGAAAAAATTAATTGGGAACCCCTGCTCTATGGTATACCTATGAGGGATTGACAAATTACCAAAAAGGCTAGTGTTGTAGATGAAAAGGACTCCACTTATGTCCTTAGAACAATATTGACAAATTACCAAAAAGGTAAGGGATTGCCACATTTAAAGGACCACTCTAGGCACCCAGACCACTTCAGCTTAATGAAGTGGTCTGGGTGCCAGGTCCAGCTAGGGTTAACCCATTTTTTCATAAACATAGCAGTTTCAGAGAAGCTGCATAAACAGCAGCTGCATAAACACTAGACGACTATTGGCCTTTTATTTATTTTATTATATGAGGAACAAAAAAAAAATAGAGAAGCTGCTATGTTTATGAATGGGTTAAGCCTTCCCCTATTTCCTCTAGCGGCTGTCTCATTGACAGCCACTAGAGGCGCTTGCGTGCTTCTCACTGTGATTTTCACAGTGAGAGCACGCCAGCGTCCATAGGAAAGCATTGTAAATGCTTTCCTATGTGACCGGCTGAATGCGCGCGCAGTTCTTGCCGCGCGTGCGCATTCATCCGACAGGGAGGAGAGCTCCCCGCCCAGCGCTGGAAAAAGGTAAGTTTTAACCCCTTTCCCCCTTCCAGAGCCGGACGGGAGGGGGATCCTGAGGGATCCGAGTATGTTTTCCTGGCACTATAGTGGTCCTTTAAGGATTCCAAATTAATAAGCTGCTTAGTAGTAACTTATTACTCAAATTACACCTTTGTCAACCCAATCTTTGCTCATTCGCCTGATGAATAATCTAATATTTTCAGAATTGTTACTATTTGTTTTATTATTTAGAGCTTACATCATATAATAATCGCTAAATCCAAAACGTATGTTCTTAACTACAAAACATTTCCCTTTAGATTTAGCTGTGCCCCTTATCGTGCTATTTTCTTTTTTGTTCCTGATATAATAAAATAAATAAAAGGCCAATAGTCGTCTAGTGTTTATGCAGCTGCTGTCAGTTTAAAGTGCTATTTAGAATCTTCTATAGAAAGATTTGAATAGAAGGTTTGCATATTCCAAGCAGAAACAATGGTTAAGTACATATAAAGGAAAACATTAAGATGAGTAATCAGGGTAAAATCAATGATAACCTTTTTGCATTATAAATGCCAAAGTTTGTATTTAATTGCTCTTAGCCAAAGTGTGGGTGTGACAGTTTGAGAAACACTGAAGCATGAGAGCTGTCAGTTTGTAAATGCAGAAATTAATGGTGTGCTTAGCATGCAAATTACAGACCTGCCAATACAAATCTCTCACTATTTGTAGAGCAAAAATGAGAAGGAACATTTTGGTGTGACCCATTATTTTTACTACCTTGGAAAAACATTCTGCAAATAATCTTATAGTGACATTTGAGATCACTTCTCTTATTCTGATAATGCTACGAAAAACACACTCTCTCTCTCTCTCTCTCTCTCTGTTTGTCTCTCTCGCTCTCTCACTCTCTGTCTCACTCACCCTTCACTCTCTCTATGTGTCTGTCTCTCTTGCTCTCTCACTCACTGTCTCACTCACTCTCACTTTCTCTCTGTCTCACACTTACTCTTGCTCTCTCACTTACTCCCTCTCTCTCTCTCTCACTTACTCTCGCTCTCTCAGTCTCTCTCTCTCAGTCCTTTTTCTCTTAGCCTCTCATTCTTCCACTTATGGTGGACTTGTAGTTAAAGTTAAATTGTAAAGTTGAGGCTAAAATATTCAAACTGCTGTGACTATATCTAAGTTGAAGATTTTTTTTCCAGCTAAGCTGCTTTGGTCTTACATATTGAAAGTTGGTACCGAATTTGATTAATTTCAATGTTTAGTGAATAAACCAGTAAAGCTGCTGAAAAAAACAAAAAACATTACAAGGAAAATTGATGTAGAATTAAACAGATGTTATTTTTTTTCTGCAAACCAAAAGCACATGGAGAGACAAAGTATATCAGATAGCTAGGTGCAAACTATACAAACACTCCCTCAAATGTTACCAGTATCCAAATATCTATGTAATATAGAATGGACACTATAACCACTAAGAATAGTGAAAAATATAACTTTATTCTGTACGAAAAGTACTACAGTGAAAAAATACAGAAAAAAATAAAAATAAACACAATGACAGAAGCAAGGGCAAATACAATAATGCAATCCTACAAAGTCAAAAAATATTAACCAGCCTTAGGACAGAGACACGAGCCACCAAACCCCCAACGTTTCGGTTCAACGCCAGTGATGATAAAACTGTTCTAACTAGCCGATACATGCATGCTTTCCATATGCATGCGGGGGATAGGCATAAGGCTGTCCTTACTATAAGATAAGGCTAGGGACTAATGAAAATATTTAGAAAATTAGGCAGACTAGATGAGCCGAATGGTTCTTATCTGCCGTCACATTCTATGTTTCTATGTTTCTAGATCAGTGGTTCTTAACATGTGGATCAAGACCACACATAGGGTCCTCATGAATTCATAGTTCTAAAATTGTCTTAAAGTTCCAAAAACCTAATTTCACTCATGTGGCCTCATTTATGAAAGGTCAAGTTAAGAATGATTCCATTTAGAGCAGGGGTTCTCAACGTTAGTCCTCAGGACCCCCTACCAGTCCAGGGTTTAGGGATTACCTGGGTGTGTCCAGGTAATCCCTAAACCCTGGACTGGTAGAGTCTAAGGTATTTTTTTCCCTTTTTCTAAACACCTGAGACACACCCAGGTAATCCCCAAATCCTGGACTGGTAGGGGTTCCTGAGGACTGGGTTGAGAACCCCTGATTTAGAGGAAGAGGTTTTTTCAATATTAATTTCATCAGGGTTTTCTGGTGGGCTTACCAAAAATGATGCCTAAATAGGCCCGATGATAACAAAGATAGCAAACATTCTTTAAGGGATTTTACAAGCCAATGTTAACAGCCTGATACTTATGCTCACACCCATGAACCAAAAGACCCAGGAACAAGAATGTCGTGAGAGTGGAATCTCTGACCATCATCTGGAATGACAAACAAAAAGGTTGCCTAGTGGAGAGGAACCCAATAAGAAAATCTTGCTACACAATACTTTACGGCTGATAACGTGACAATGTAAAATTAGTTTGAATCAGGAGGTAATCAAGCTAATTAAGTTGGCATGAGAGGAATTGGTAAGAAAAATGGCAACTACGTTCAGGCGTCTACGTGACACTAAAACGTAGAGGCTACACTAGGTACCTTCAATTAAATAATCCCAAGCATCAGGCTCCCTGCAGATTGTGGTTTTGGTTAAGCATGCAAGTTTTTCTAAATAGGAAGCAATTCTGAGAGTTTTTGAAAGCTTGTGAAGAAAGTGGTTGATGGGAGGTAGGTTTTCGGCAATTTCAAATGTGATGGGCTTAGTGTTTACACAGGCAGTTAATTCATCAATTAATTGATGTACGCTATTGTGGAAAGAAAATGCTTTGCATGGATAAAATAAGGGCAAGAAAATTATTTATATCAGAGAGTGTAGGTAAATGAACAATCTTTGGGCTACATGTAAATGGTCTGTGCGCCCATCATGTCAAATATTCTCAAAATAGAGCTATAATCAATCACACCTCGTTTAATTTACCATAGGAATTACCCCAAGATCTTAATAGCATGACTAATGAAACTTAATAACTCCTGGATGCTAGCAACGTGGGTGTTCTAATACATGGGTCTGTGCCAAGGCTATTTGGCTTCAGTGAGAACCATAAAGATGGAGTTCTGATTTAAGACAATGATTATATATTTTGGGACATACTCTGCCATAAAATTTTCCAAACGTTTTATTTTAATGCCAGGTTAATGTAAAAAAAATTACTTTCAAGTCTATTTAGTTAAAGTTACGCTCCGGGCACCAAGACTATTTTTATGCATTTAATAGGTTTTGGCTTCATCAATCGGCTGTATGTTTTGCATGCTCAAATATTTATACTTTAGGACAGTACTGAATAACAAAACAACCTGCATTAGAATGATGTCGTCCATAGAAAGTAATTTGAGAATTGTTCTTTAGGTAGTTATTCATATTCTGTTAAATACAAACAATCTGCCCCTTGTTCATGAAGCCAGATTCAGTCAGTTGGAGGAGAGGATGTATTGTTAGTAGGGTATATTGGTTACTTTGGGCATTTGCGCCAAAATTTGGAAAACCCTTTTCAAAAGTATTGTACATTTCTTTAGAGCTGGTCTAATGTGTTTACTATAAACTGTGCGGCCGAGACTAGCAAATATAATATAATATTATCTTATTTTATTAAATTATTATCTTATTATTAAATTATTAAAACTGTCCAAATCAATATATTCATTAAGGCATAACATTTTCCTTTCTGAAGCAAGGTACTAGATATGCTGTTCCTTAGAAAATATTCACTTACCTAATTCCAGAACTGAGGTCCCTCGGTGCTAGGTCGTGATCCGTTTCCTCCGACATCATCCAATTGGGTGAATTAATGCGCATGCGCGTTGAGCACTGTACTCACATTGGCCTTCTCCATATGGAAGCATTGCCTTGATACTTTACTATGGGGTTTTTCTGATGCTGGATGTACTCATCCAGCGTCGTTTCACGGAGTTAAACTCCGTGAAATTTCATGGAGTGCCTCTAGTAGACAGCCACTGGAGGACTTCTTAACACTGCAATGTAAACATTAAAGTTTATCTAAAACTGCAATACTTTACATTGTAGGACTAAGGAGAACAGGGACACTGCACTCAGACCACTTCAATGAGATCAAGTGGTCTGAGTGCCTATTGTGTCCATTGAAGGTTTTCCTTTAACAAGGAGCAGCGTTGGAGACAATATTTCCGAATAGTGGAAAATATAGCAGTGGGGGTTGCTACGTTATATTTTATTTATACATA